GACCAATTAGCCTACTTCCGATTCTCTCAAAAATCTTTGAAAAGATCCTCCTGAAGCGAATCCTACCCTTTATAGAATCCCAAAATTTTCCTTCACATCAGTTCGGATTCCGTTCACAACACTCCACAGTCCAACAAGGACTCCGAGTGGTCGATCATATTTCCGCAGCATTGGAAAGCAAGCAATATTGCTCGGGTGCATTTCTGGACATAGCTCAAGCTTTCGACCGAGTATGGTACGCCGGGCTTCTTTCCAAGCTGAAAACCCATCTTCCTCAGTCCTTATACCTTGTCCTCCATTCCTACCTCTCAGATCGTACCTTCCGAGTTCGCTGCGGTAGTGAATTATCGAATTGCTATCCAATTGAGGCAGGTGTTCCTCAAGGTAGCGTATTGGGTCCCGTCCTTTACATCCTCTTTACCGCCGATATCCCTATCCATCCCGATACCTTCCTGGTAACTTTTGCTGATGACACCGCCATTCTATCATCCAACTCAGATCCTGATATAGCATCCTTAAACCTTCAAAGACACCTCTCCCTGATTGAGCACTGGTGTAATAAATGGCGAATTAAAGTAAACGAATCCGAATGCCAACATATCACCTTCACGCTCCGACGCAGTTCCTGTCCACCAGTACACTTTAATTCCATTCAGCTTCCTTTCTCAGACACAGTCCGGTACCTTGCCTTTCTCTTAGACAGACGACTAACGTGGAACCCTCATACTAGACTTAAAAGACAAAAACTAAACCGACGATACGGACAACTATACCGGCTACTAAACAGAAAATCAAAACTTTCTATTGAAAACAAGTTACTGATCTACAAGACAATACTGAAACCTATCTGGACTTACGGACTTAAACTGTGGAGAACTTTACTAACATCAAGCAAAATTTACTAACATCAAACGCATCCAATCTTTCCAATTCAAAGTCCTTCGAACAATAGTCAGTGCTCCTTTCTATGTAACCAACAAAACCCTACACCATGACCTTAATATCACATTTGTCCTAGACCTTGTCCCAGCAAAATTCTCCAAATTCCACCAGAACTTTACCCATCATCCAAATCCCTTTGCAATCTCTATCCAGCGCCACCCATCCATATAATCCTCCAAGGAGGTTAAAACGGCAGTGGCCCCGCGATCTTTTATAGTTTGTAAATATTGGAGTTCTGGCAATGGCCAGATTTTCCACTCACGACATGAGTGTATGTGGCTAAAGCACTCTTGCTCAATCTCCACTGGGTTTAGCCCTAGTGACGCGGTTGAGAGAGGAGTGCATGGAACTCCTGGAGTCATACTTTTCCCTCCACAGTTGGAGGGACAAGTATGGTTTGGAGTTCTCTCGCCAAATTGGGAATATTGTATATAGGTGTGCATGTGTTCTTCTTATTTATTTATTTTTAGGTTATTTTATTCTTATTTATTGTATATATATTATTTTTCTGTACAATTTATTTTATTTACTGTACGTAGAGTGTGAATGTGATTTGTGACCACTATTATAAATGTCCTTGAGACAGATTGTAATATTTTTCAATAAATAAGCTTATAATAAAAAAAGTATTATTCAAATAACATCTGATGACCATTCTATCATTTTTTTTTTTTTTTTTTTACAAAATTATAATCGAAATCTAAACAGTATCCTGTTTATTTGAAATCTAAATTTTCCTTTGTCAAATAAGGATTTAAAATAAAAATTTTCAATAAGAAAATTATATATAGACGTAAGTGTCCGCTATCATAATTTTTCAACAATTATTTTCAAAAAGTAAATATATTGAAACAATTCTTCTCAAAATATCTTTAAAAATATAACAATAAGCAAACAGTAAATTATAAATAACAGAGAATTTAATGATGAATTTTCGATGATGATTTTCGATTTGTTACTCTTATTATTGGTTGTCAGTTATTACTTTTCAACTATTATTGTTTTATCAATTACTTTTTACTAGTTATTACTTAGTTAATTTGTTTATAGGTTTACTATTTTCTCGTTAGAACAATTATTATTTTTTTTAAATATTATATCAGGTACTATTGTTTTCATCTTTAGCTTTCTCATCATTTTTTTCTTTTTCTGTTCTATATAATTTATTATACATATCATTTTATGCTTCTTTGATAGTTTTCCCTCCATTGTATCATTATTTTTATTTAAATCTAAGCCGAAACGTCGGTATTCAATAAATGTTCCCAAAATTACGCTAGTTATGTTAGTTAGTTATGTCAGCCCTAGAAAACAAGGAATACTGTTCGGGTGCCTTTCTGGACATTGCGCAGGCATTTGACCGGGTATGACACTCCGGACTGCTCTCCAAGCTTAAAATCCATTTACCTCAGTCCTTGTACCTAGTCCTCCGATCCTACCTCTCTGACCGCTCCTTTCGAGTTCGCTGTGGAACAGAATTTTCCAATATCTACTCCGTTAAAGCCGGTGTTCCCCAAGGCAGCGTCTTGGGTCCCGTGTTTTACATCCTCTTTACTGCTGACATCCCTGTTCATCCCGATACTTTCCTTGCAACATTCGCTGACGACACTGCAATCTTATCATCCAACTCTGATCCCGAAATAGCATCCTTAAATCTCCAAAGCCACCTCACCTTGATTGAGCACTGGTGTAATAACTGGCGCATTAAAGTTAATGAATCTAAATGCCAACATATTACCTTTACACTCCGACGCAATTCCTGTCCACCAGTACTGTTTAATTCCATCCAGCTTCCTTACTCAGACACAGTCCGGTATCTTGGCTTTCATTTAGACCGAAGATTAACGTGGAACCCGCATACTAGACTCAAAAGACAAGAACTCAACCGACGATACGGCCAACTATACCGACTACTAAGAAGAAAATCTAAACTTTCCATTGAAAACAAGCTACTGATCTACAAGACAATACTGAAACCTATTTGGACTTACGGACTAGAACTGTGGGGATCAGAAAAATTTTCTAACATCAAGCGCATCCAATCCTTCCAGTCTAAAGTCCTTCGAACTATAGTCGATGCTCCTTTCTATGTAACCAATAAAGCCCTACATCATGACCTCAACATCCCATTTGTCCTAGACCTTATCCCAGAAAAATTCTCCAAATTTCACCAGAACCTTACGTACCACCCAAATCCTCTTGCACAATCTCTATCAAGCACCTCCCATCCCTATAATCCTCCAAGAAGGTTGAAACGGCAGTGGCCTCGCGACCTTTTGTAGATTGTATATATTGGAGTTCTGGCAATGGCCAGATTCTCCACTCAAGACATGAGTGTATGTGGCTAAAGTGCTCTCGACCAATCTCCGCTGGCTTTAGTACCGGTGACGCGGTTGGGAGAGTAGCGCAGGGTTCTCCTGGAGTTCCCTCGCCTGATTGTATATAGGTATGCATGTGTTTTTTTTCTTAGTTTTAATTTTCTTATTTTTTAGGTTATTTTATTTTATTATCTATTGCATATACTTTTGATTATTATTTTGTTCTATTATTTTATTTTTTTGTACATATAGTGTGAATGTCATCCTACCTCACTATAACCAATGTCCAAGAGACAGATTGTTATAATACTCAATAAAGAAATTAAAAAAAAAAAAAAGTTATTATGTAATTCTAGATTGCCACAAAGGTCACATGCATGGTAAGAATAAAAAAAAATAATAAATTAAGACGCCTTCTTTATTATTATTTCGTTTTTGTTTTTTTTAATTTACGATATCTTGCCATCCAAGCAAAAAATTATTTGAAAATATCTTTGAAGCCATAATTATTTAATAGTCCTAAAGAACATTAATTTATTTATATCGTTAATTATATATTATTTATGTAACAGCCTAACATTTTAAACTATCTAAAAATAAATATTATTTACTAAAATGCTTATGTCATACTGCTATTTCGTAATTATCTATAGAATATATGGGGGAGTGAGGTAGCTCAGTAGTACGGTACTTAGCTTCCAATGCTAATAAAAGTCCCATGTTCGAATGCCAAGTTATGGCAAAAAATTATTTATTCTGTTTCATTGGCCGTGGGGCAACCCTGGGTCGGCAGACCCTCCTGGAGCACACTCAGCCTTTATAAAGTGGCTATAATTAATTAAAATAACTAATTAAGAGAGAAAACATGGCGGTTGAGCGTGATCTCGGTCAAATCACCTCCTTGCACAACCGTTTACCAAGAAACAGTGTTTTTCCTAAATAGTAATTAACCCATGATCCTTCAAAACCGTACAGGTTTTTTTAATATAATATATGATACAATAGAAAATAAAATAAATATTTAAACAATAAAGCATCATTAACATTAGATTTGGCAGTAAAGCAGCAAATAAAATCTAGTAAGTCTAATAAATGAATATGTATTAATAAATCATATTTATATTAACAATATTATTATAATTATAAAATAGGTAAATAATTAATAAATTCATCAAATGAATATAATTTCGAATATTTTTTTAATGATTTTACTGAGTAATAATCCAATATGTACATACTGAAGGGAAATAAATATAAATAATTAAAATAAAGAAAATAAAAATTTAAATAAGATAAACAAAATTAATATATAAAATATGAATAAAATAATAGATTGAAGCTGAGTAAAATTAAAGCAAATACATTAATAGTAAGGTAATAAAGCGGTAGTAATATTTGATTAGGCAGTAAAGAATTAAGTAAAATCTAATTTTAATAATTTAAGAACAATCTTCAATAAGTCATAATTATATTAATAGTTTAGTTATAGTTAGTTATGAAATAAAATATTTAATCCAAAATTAATAATACTATTAAAGAAAAAAAAATTTAACTTACTTGAAACATTATCAAACCAGCTTTTAATTAACATTTATTCAAGCCATGAAACATAAATTCCTTAAGTAAAATCACATTAACTGATGGATCATTTGAAAAATTAAGAATGATTTTCATACTACAAATGTCATACAAAAAATAGATTTTATCTATCTTTTTATCTATTTTCTTATGATTTAACAGTAATTGCGGCGCTGGCCATTTTCTGGCCATCATTCGTCCTCGCCTTTCCGTCAGAAGAATTATCTTTTTTGAGGCCAAAGAAAGATGTACAGTCAATACTGGAATGGAGTTCTGAAGATGACAGTGATGATCTCCAGCTAGGCCAATTCAATGACCAAGATGGATCAGAAGAAGAAAGCGAAGAAGGACGTGAGCAATATCTAAGACAACACCCACACCCAAGACCACATCCAGGACCAACCGATGAACCACAGCCAGAGCCAAGACCACATCCTCGCCCACACCCACATCCAAGACCAATCCCAAGACAAGATCCAGGAGCAACCGATGAACCACAGCCAGAGCCCAGACCACATCCTCGCCCAACCGTTGAACCTCGTCCATATCCCATCCCAAGACCAGATCCAGGAGCAACCGATGAACCACAGCCAGAGCCCAGACAACATCCTCGCCCAACCGTTAAACCTCGTCCATATCCCATCCCAAGACCAGATCCAGGAGCAACCGATGAACCACAGCCAGAGCCAAGACCACATCCTCGCCCAACCGTTAAACCTCGTCCATATCCCATCCCAAGACCAGATCCAGGAGCAACCGATGAACCACAGCCAGAGCCCAGACCACATCCTCGCCCAACCGTTAAACCTCGTCCATATCCCATCTCAAGACCACATCCAGGACCAAAAGATAAACTAAAGCCACAGCCCAGACCACATCCTCGCCCAACCGTTAAACCTCGTCCATATCCCATCCCAAGACCAGATCCAGGAGCAACCGATAAACCACAGCCAGAGCCCAGACCACATCCTCGCCCAACCGTTAAACCTCGTCCATATCCCATCCCAAGACCAGATCCAGGAGCAACCGATAAACCACAGCCAGAGCCCCGACCACATCCTCGCCCAACCGTTAAACCTCGTCCATATCCCATCCCAAGACCAGATCCAGGAGCAACCGATGAACCACAGCCAGAGCCCAGACCACATCCTCGCCCAACCGTTAAACCTCGCCCATATCCCATCCCAAGACCACATCCAGGACCAAAAGATAAACTAAAGCCACAGCCCAGACCACATCCTCGCCCAACCGTTAAACCGCGTCCATATCCCATCCCAAGACCAGATCCAGGAGCAACCGATAAACCACAGCCAGAGCCCAGACCACATCCTCGCCCAACCGTTAAACCTCGTCCATATCCCATCCCAAGACCAGATCCAGGAGCAACCGATGAACAGCAGCCAGAGCCCAGACCACATCCTCGCCCAACCGTTAAACCTCGTCCATATCCCATCCCAAGACCACTTCCAGGACCAAAAGATAAACTAAAGCCACAGCCCAGACCACATCCTCGCCCAACCGTTAAACCTCGTCCATATCCCATCCCAAGACCAGATCCAGGAGCAACCGATAAACCACAGCCAGAGCCCAGACCACATCCTCGCCCAACCGTTGAACCTCGTCCAGATCCCATTCCAAGACCACTCTCACACCCACATCCTCACACTACTGAACAGCCAGAGGTAGAATCTTAGGAGGTCTAAATGATAGTGGATATAAGAAACCCATCACTACTAAAATGTTTTAATTTATTTTTAACGAGAAGCGTAATTATTTTCTTAACTTAATACTTCTAGATAAATCTCTGTAAGACCTATTGCATTTCCCAAATGAATCGAAAATAAAGATTATTAAAATATTTTCTTGTTCAATATCACTATACCCAGTGAAGTCCTAAATATACAATTGATTATGTTTATGAAAAAAACATTAAAAAGTAACATAACTTAACAAGTGAACATTCATATTAACATTTCAGATTGTTTGATACATTAACATCTATTTATCCCATAGTATTTAAATTTTATATGATATTTTTAATACAATTAATGTAAACATAGCAAAGTAAATGAGAGAGATTCGTCGATTCTCTTGACTCTTATAGACAAACAGAAAATAACAAAAAGAGAGTTAAAGAGCAATCAATTATAAGCAACACTTAAGGGACATGTACAAGAGCATTCAAGTAAAAAATGCTTTAAAAGTAATTTCAACATGAATAATGACCCAAAGCCGCCAATACAGAATTTCTTATCGGAGAACCTAGTCAGAAGTAAGAAATGAGAAATAGTAATTGGACAACTAAATTCAATTATCAATGAAAAGGAATTGTTTTACTTCAAGTAATACCCTGGCTATAATGATTCCGGCAACTTTATATGTATAAAAATGAGCCTTTGGTGGATCTGAAAATGTTTCTTTTCTTTTCCCTACACAACAAGCTGGAATTGATTACGAACTTTAAGCTTAGAAGAGGCTCCGAAAGTGTTCTAAAAGACAGTGTCTTAGGTTCGCTTCTCTTCAATCCCTTCACCATTGATATCCCTACAGATCCCGATATCTTGTTCATCAATCAACAGTTGCTGACGATGTCGCCATTCCACTTAGATCCCAAAATAGCATACAAAAACCTAAAATGACACCTCTATCTGATTGAGCAGTTGTACATCAATCCCCGCCGATCCTGTCCCACAATATTTTTCAACTACAAACCACTTTCCTATTCAGACACAGTGAGGTATTTCGACTTCGTTCTAGACAAAATACTAACATGGAAACCACATACCAACTTAAAAAACAACTTCTTAACCGATGATCTGGTACGCCATGCTGACTGTTAAACAGAACATCTCATAATTCAACTGAAAACAAATTATTTCTCAACAAGATCATGCTGAAATCAAGATCTACAAAATTTTCCTCATCAAAATCTCAAATCCTTAACCAAGTCCTCAAACTCATCCATTCCTTCTAATCCAAAATCTTTCTAACAACAGTCAGTGGCACCATTCTATATAACAAAAAAACCTTTCACCATGACCTTAATAGCTAATTTTTTGAATTGCTTTTATGCCAGAAATTCTCTAAATTTCACTAGAACCATTCAAATCCTTTCACACAATGCTTATCTATCTCTCTTCATCCCAACAACATCCACGAACGGTGAAACACTTAAAAATAAATACACAGCAGTGGTACCGCGACCTTTTGTAAATATGTACATATTGAAGTTGAGATAATGGCCAGATTCTCCACTACATGTGGCTGACTACGTGTTCTCGATCAACCTTATGTCACTTCAACTCGGTCAACTGGCTTTAAATACCAGTGGCATAGTTGAGAGAGAAGCGCTGGGATCTCTTCTATTCTTCCTCCCCCGACAGGGAAAGCCTGGTTCGGAATTTTCCTGGCTGATTTTAAATACTGTATATAGAGGGAGCCATCATGTATTTAAGATGTTACTTTACTGTATTTATTGATAAGTTCATTTAATTTTATTTATTTTTAAGTGCTTTATTTAGTTGATTTATTATGTTCTTTGTCTATATTTTGCGTGAATAATCTCTTTGTTCACAAGTACCAATCTCCTGTATTGTGACAGAATGTAATATTATTCATTAACAAAAAGAAAAAAAGGAGCTTTTAAGTACTTAAGAAGTAAAGTCACTAGATTAAGTTATGCTAAGTTAGAATAGAATAGAATAGAATTGAATTTATTTGTTTAAGATTATTTTACAATCTTGTACAAATGGTACATATATGAATAACTTTATTTCTCCTACATGAGTCTAGTCTATCCTAACTGTACATTGACTTATTATAAAAACAATAACTAAACAAAAATACTTCGTTACATTCCAATTAATTTCTATCTGCATCATCAATAAAACAAAAAAAGAAAAAAGAAACAAACAATTAATTGAACTGACCAACAATTATCCTTAGTCATAGCACTTGGTTGGTGTGTGGAACATCAGAGGTTAAGGAATCCAGTGAATTCCACGCTGACATTATGAACTGGTAAATTTTATTAAGTTTCTCTATGCTATCGATTCGAAGTATGTCTTGTATCTTGTTTACCTCAATTGGCGGAGAGAGAAATTCTCGTAAATGTTTGTGTCTGTTGTCTGTTAGCTTTTCACAGTACAGAAGGATATGGAACAGACTGTTAGTAATGAATTGGTTACAGAAAGTGCAGGTTTCCTGGACTTTGAAGTAGAAACTTTTGTTTTTCGTATAGAGCTTAATTAATTCCGGATTTGAAACCCTTAGCTGACTTATTGATCTTAGCTTTTTCATGTTAGCTCTATACATCAAATAGGACTCTGGGCTGGAAATATTGAAGCTGGAAATAGTTCTATATATGGGATTGTTGTTGAAATTTATGGATAAATGGATCTCCTTAGATAGGTTATGGTTTTTTAGCTTTTCCAATATTTCATCGCTATATTTTAATAATCGAGTTGGGTATACTTTATCGAACTCTTCTTTACAGCCATAATGAGCAGCTATTGATCTGACTTGTGTGATCCAATTAAAGTTTATATCAGGATTCCTTGTATCCAGCAAAATTAATTTGTTGAAGCAAAGCCTTGGTAACCTTTCTTCAGGCATAAGCGACAATTTAGACCAATAATTTATGATCCTTTTCATAAACCTGACACTCAAGGCGTTTCGGCCAGTTTCTAGACGTACAATGTAGTTGGCAGTATTCCTTGGCCACCTAAATAGTTGCTTCAGCAACTTCAGCTGTACCACTTCAATATCATCCAGATATCTTAAGCTCCATATTTCAGAAGAATACAGAAGGGTTGAAGACACCATAGAATCAAAAAGAGCTATTTTGTCTCCCATGAATCGCTTCTACCCCTTCGCAAAATCTCCAATACTTTTCCCGTGGCAACAAAAGACTTCTGTATAAAATGCTCAGATGCCTTACTAATTTTTACTGAGGAAGTGAAAGGTACTCCTAAGTAAGTATAGGCATTAGTGTATTCCAGCTTTTTCTCATACCAGTAAAGGGGCTTAAGTTTCTTCATCCTGGGGAATTTATGAAATACTACAACTTTTGATTTTTCCTCATTTACAGTTAGGGAGTTCTTCTCACAGTACTGTTGCAGGATCTTCAGTTTCTTTTGTGCTTCTTGCCAAGTATTACTAAGAAGAAGAATATCTTCTGCTAGTAAGAGCATTTTAACTTCATGAGTGTTATCTATGCTTATGCCTGTGGCTCCACTATGCTGAAAAAATTGGATTATATTTGATATGAACAAGACGAAAAGTGTTGGACTGAATTTCTCCCTGTAACAGACCAGATGTTATATCTATGCTTTCCGATAGTTGTCCTTTGATTGCAATTTGAGTTGTAGCATTGTCGTATAGCACTTTCATTATCCTTATAAGTTTTCCTCCAAGTCCGAGAGAAAAGAGTTTTTCCCATAGTAGGTTATGGTTAATGGGGTCGAACGCTTTCCGGAAGTCTATAAATGTAGCATATAAGTAGCTGCCTTCGGATCTAAATTTAATACCAACTAGTGACATTAGTGTGAAAACGTGGTCTGTGCATCCTCTACGACTTCTAAACCTCGCTTGTTCTTCAGGTATAAGGCTTTCAGATTCAGCCCATTGTATAATCCTGCTTGCCAGAATACTGGTAAATAACTTCAGCATTGTATTTAAGAAGGATATTCCTCTGTAATTATTTGTATCCGTCCTGTCTCCCTTCTTAAACAGTAAATGAAGTTTTGATTTAGACCACTGTAGGGGAAGTTTCCCACAGTCCATCACTGTATTAAATAGGTTGAGAAGATAATGCTCCCACTCCGGCGTGAGATTTTTGAAGATTTCGTATATAATATTGTCGAAGCCAGGAGCTTTATGTTTCTTGGATTGTTGGATACAATATTTTAGCTCCTCTAATGTTATGTTACTTTCAAGATATGGATGAGTAACTGAATAAAATTAGTTTCCGCTTATTTTTTGGCCATAGTGTGATATATAAAATTTGCTCCATTCTTCTATTAATATTTCGTTTATTTGGCTTTTATGTGGTTTCAGAGAGTTTATAGTCGTCCAAAACTGTTTGCTGTTCCTAACTTTCCTAAGATTATTTAGTATGAGTAATCGGAATCCAATTTTCTTTTGTCCTATTAATTTCCTGTATGAGTTTCTGGAATGAATATATTCCTCTATTTTATCATTGGAAAAGTTGAACCTGATCATAGTCCTATATTTTTGACCTAGCTCTCTTCAAATTTCTACAGTCTTGATCAAACCATGGCTGCTTAGCCTTATATTGAGGACTCTCCGTTATTTTTGTATGGAACATTAGCCCTGCTGTGGTCATACTTTCCTGCATACAAGTAATGAAGTTCTCGTATAATAGGTTTATCTCTTTAGAGCTAAAGTATATTCTATTAGTGCTCAATAACAAGTTTTTAAACCCATTCACTTTAGATTCTTCCCATGATCTGACGTCTTATCCGTTAGTTCATGGGATGGATCCAGAGGGCATGGATATAGAGGGCAAGTGTAAAGAAGTACTGCAAGCCAAGTGGTCAATAGATTCAGAGACAACCATTAAATTCATATCTCCAAATATATCTAGGGTGTTATGATTTATCCAGACCAGGTCTATAGCACTTCTCCCCAGACTCGATATGAAGGTACACTTTCCCGGTCTGCCTGAAAGAGAGCGACCATTGCATAAAATGAGACCTCAAGATTCCATGGCTTCCACCAGTACTTTTCCTTGCTTGTTTATGTTTAAACGAAGAGACAACCTTTCAGAATAAAGATTTGTCCCCTGCAAAATTTCCTCCTCTAGATTATTTAAATTCCCTACATGGCTGTTAAAGTCTTCATTCAAGATCAAACAAGTTGTTGGGAAGTATGAACATATCAT